TTCTACTCACACAATAGTTAAGTACATACTTAAATTTAAGCCCAAGCTTCAATTTCACTGAAGACAACAAGACATAATCACATGCTAAACATTAAGTATATGCTTAAGAGATATCCTGAATGTGGGGAGAGGGGACTTAAGCATGTGCTTCAGTGTTTTCATATATTGGGGCCATGGACTGCAGAGCAGTTTTCCAAAAGTTCAAGTAATATAGCATTAGCATATCTCTTCTATTTTGTTTAAACATACCTCTTCACTAAGAGTGAGTCAGGTAGTCAGAATTGTTTATATATAACTGGAAAGTCAACAAAAGGACTGAAGAGCTGAAAAATATGTTGATTTCTTATTTGTACTAAGCTACATACAGTCATTGTACTGAACAGTTCATTCCCTTGTGAATAATATTACCGGTTCCTGCAGTTAAAGACACAGGGAACATCTCTCAAACTAATAGGATCTTTCAGAATGGAACAAACTTGATGTCAGTGGAAATTCAGTAGAACCTCAGAGTTCCGAACACCAGAGGAATGAACTGACTGGTCAACCACACACCTCATTTGGAACCAGAAGTACACAATCAGGAAGCAGCAGAGACAAAAAAAAAGAAGCAAATATAGTACAGTACTTTGTTAAATGTAAACTACTAACAAAATAAAGGAAGAATTAAACAAAAAAAGATGTTATAAGGTAAGGAAACTGTTTCTGTGCTTGTTTCATTTAAATTAAGATGGTTAAAAGCAGCATTTTTCTTCTCACAGTAAAGTTTCAAAGCCGCATTAAGTTCAGTTGTAAACTTACGACTATTTCAGAGTTCTGAACAACCTCCATTCCTGAGGTGTTTTTAACTCTGAAGTTCTACTCTATGCCAATTGACACTAGTTGAAGATCTGGTCTTAAGAGCATCCACAGTAGTTTTCATTCATTAAAACAAACAATCAAACAAACAAACAATCAAACAAACAAACAAAACCAAACCACTTGGATAAAATTTCAAAAGGCCCTATGACCAATTTTTAAAAGTAACTTAGGCACTTAGGCAGTTAAGTTTCACAAAGGGCTAGATCCATAAAGGAAACGTAAACTCCATAGTGCAATACCGAATGTTTAGAGTCCTGCCACCTACTGAAATCCTTAGCTGTAACTTGGTCACTGGGTCAGAGAGAAAGTGAGAATGACTTTATAGCCAAGTGGTTAGCACACTGTCCTGAGAGACCTGGATTCCAGGCCCTGCTCCAATGACTATTTAAGTATTTTATAAAAAGTGGAACACCTTCAACAGGAGAGATGTGCTTTAGTGTTTTCCTGTATTGAGACCATGGACTGTAGGGCAGTGAGAGACATTGAGAGAGACCCACCTTATATACGGAATACCGTATAGCCCAGCAGCTAGATTACTCACCTTCTTCCTTTCTGTTTGTGTGGAGCCTGATCTGGTAGGCATGCTCTACAGTGGCCTCTGAGAATGCCTACGGATTGGCCTCCACAGGCGAGATAGATGAGGGAATTCCTAGCTTGAGGATCCTGCTGGAACTGAGGTAGCATCAGGATTTAGGCAGCGTGCATGCCCACTGGCAGAAATGTAGGCTGATCGGGGACTTTACCAGTGAAAACTTAGCAATCTAGGGAATTTAGGTGCCTACAGGGTTAAGTGGTGACTGAGCAGAGGTTTTGAGGATCTAAATTTTGGACTTAGGTGATAGTTAAGTGCCTAAATTCCTTTGTGGATGTAGCCAAAAACCTTTGCTTAGTCCTACTTTCCCTACCCAAATTTGGAGCTAGTATAAGGCTGCTCAACCACCAAATGGTTTTCAGTTTCACTAAGTGGAGAGAGTGAGAATTCTTCCTGTGCTGAGTTCCAATCTCCTCTGATTAACCCTCATGCTCCTCAACCTTGTTCCATCCTCAGGAAGCTAAAGTTACCCCGAATATATGGGATCAGAGGGAAATTTAGGGAAAGGAAAGGGTGAGTGCCAACTCAGTGCTCACTAAATTGTCTCATTACAGTGTGTTGAAGAGGCAGTTGTCTGATGTGCTCACCTCTGGTATGATCAGAGGGAGTGGAAGATCAAGGTGAGCCCAGCTCAGTTTTTTGCTAGGAAAGCAAGGAAAGGATGAAGATTTAGGCAGGGATATTGTTTTATCTGAGTGACCCTGAAGGACGAGAGAGTTTGGGCCTGATCTAAAACCCACTGAAGTAAATGGAAAGACTCCCACTGACTTAAGTGTCTGGGTCAAGCCCATAGAGAGCCCAAGAAACACTGGGGCAGCACCTCATCATCCCCACCTGAACAATCTACTGCAGTGTTTCTGTTAGCACACCACAGAAGCTATTGGTCCCCTGGTGCAGGTGAGTATTGGTTCACAGTTTTTTAGATAAACAAGTAGCAAATAGGCTGATGGTACAAATTACAGCAGCATCTTTACTCTCATTACAAAGTCCCCTCCTACACAAGATACTTCAGGGTCACAAGTGGTGGTATCTCTTAGACTTGACTTTTCTCCTTTGTTCCCACCCCAGATATCTTTAGGCACAAATTGGAAATGTGACTCTTCCAAAGCATATAGTCATGTTTGCACAAGCCAAGTGTATAAAACATTCAGTTTTCAGAGTAACAGCCGTGTTAGTCTGTATTCGCAAAAAGAAAAGGAGTACTTGTGGCACCTTAGAGACTAACCAATTTATTTGAGCATGAGCTTTCATGAGCTACAGCTCACTTCATCGGATGCTGTAGCTCACGAAAGCTCATGCTCAAATAAATTGGTTAGTCTCTAAGGTGCCACAAGTACTCCTTTTCTTTTTGCAAACCATTCAGTGTGTGCAAAGAGCTCAAGGATTTGGTTTTCTGAGAGTGAACCTACTTTAGTTTATTTTTTTACTGATGTTATAGATCAGTGGTTCTCACCTGGGGGTCTGCGAGTCATTTCAGGAGAGCCACTGGGCCCTGTGGATGAAGACTGAAGCCCCGAGCCCCAATGCCCTTCACAGGGCTAAAGCCCAGAGCTGCAGGGCTGAAACCCATAGCTCTGAGCCTCAGTACTCCTGGCTGAAGCCCCAAGCCCTAGCCCCACCCACAGGATTGAGCCCAGAGCTGTGGGACTGAAGCCAGGAGCCCTGGTGCCACCCCGCAGGGCGGAAGCCCCAAGTCCAAGAGTGGGAGCTGGGAGTGCACAGAGGGCGTTGTTCCACCCCCTCCCCACAAAATGGCAGTGCCTTACCCAGAGCGGGGCAGTCCTGGGGGCAACTCCACACTGTCCCCCACCTCCTTCTCTCCCCCAAGAGGCCCTGCCCCCTGGCCAGGTCAGAAGGGGGAAGTTGGAGCCAGGCACTGGAGGGCAGCTGCTGCCATGAAGAGGGCAGCCACAGAGCTCTCCTATCTCCTGCGGCTACTGCTGCTGCTGATGGTGCCCAGGGTTGTGGCCGGTCCTCAGCTCCCAGCTTTTACTGCTGGAGCAGTTGGTAAGAGCCACCAAAGTGGGTGACCCGACTCCTGGACAGCAGAGTCCTCAGGCAGCAGTGACCGCAGGACCGGGAGCATTCCTGGGCTCCTGATACGCAGCCCCTAGCTACTGCTCTCCCTACACCCTGAGCTACCCCCGTGCCTGCACACAGCCCCTAGCTACCCCTCTCCCTGCACTGAGTTACACCCCTCTCTCCACACAGCCCCTAGCTACCCCTCTCCTTGCACTGGGCTACACCCCTCTCTCCATGCAGATCCTAGCTACTCCTTTCCCTGCACCCTGAGCTACCTCTCCTCCCTGCACATAGCCCCTAGATACTCCCTGCCTCAGCCTGCACCTTGAGTGGTTTTCAAACTGAGCTGAGCCCCACTCCACCCTCCCATTTGTTTTATAAATTTTGGTTCCAGCTTTCCTGTCCCCTGACAGGCTGGATGGACTGCTGAGGTGAGTCAGGGGGTGGAGGTGGTGATCCCTCCCTGAGCCACGCTATGCAGAGCTGGCCTGAGCCCTGCTCCCCCCGAAAATGGAAGTCAAACTACGCCTACGCCCAAGGACACCCCCCGCCCCACCTGCCCTGGAGTTTTTATAGCATGTTCGGGGGTGGGGGGGCTCAGATAGAAAAAAGTTAGAGATTACCCTTTCCCTCTTGTTTTTTAATTAAACCCAATTAGAGAGGTGTTACCCTCTAATTTTATTCCAAACCACAACTGACTCAGCAGTCATCACTTGTTGAGGTGGGAAGCTCTTAATTAGAAAGCCAGCCTCTTGTTCTTTCTTTCTTAGAATAGAATACAGTGCTTTCGGCTGAGTGTGTACACATGAGAGCCTGAGCCATTTTATTTCGTTAGAAACCTTCCCTAGAGTGTGACCAAAAGAACATTATTGTTCACCCAAACACAGCCTTTTTAACTGAAACAGCTGGCAGAAGGCTTGCACTGGCAGCTAAAGGAAAACTGTAGTAAGACGTATGCCCAAAACATCCAGTGAGTTAATCAGGAGAATACAAATCACAGCCTATATCGGGCCAGATCTTCATCTCAATTACACTGCTTTTAAATCAAGAGATCAGTGAAATTACTCCAAACGTACATCTATGTAACTGAGATCAGAATCTGGTGCTCATTTTAATAAACACAATAGAATGAGCCACCTTAGGGACTCTCTGTTTTGACAAGAATATGTATAGCTGTCAGAAAAGATCATTAAACCCTTCTGGTAATGAGCTCATTTGAAACAAGCTCCCTGTTAGTAATTATTACTTGGTTTTGATTGATTCATCAGTTGCTTTTGGTGTTCCATTTTCATAAACAGTTCATGAATTGCTGAGTTAAGAAATGTAATAATTATTTTAGAATGTCGTAAACTCAGTCCACAACAAAAGGCCCAGCTAGCCAGCCAGCCAGCCAGCCCTGTTTCAGGACCAGTCCATTCTAAATGAATCGGCTGTGTACCATATCAGTTAGAACTGGACTGCAATTTATTCAACAACAAAGAAAGTCAAATGGAATAGTGAATGCTTGAGGAGTGAGAGTTTTTCTTACCTATTTCAGTCATGGTTATCCCCGGAGCTAACTGCCCATTGTTGAAAGAGCTATAGGTAAACAAGTTTGGTACAGAAGTGAGGTCATAGATAGGTTCCTGCTTTATCTGTTTGATTCCAGTCATGTCTAACCCAGACTGATCTGGGGAGGGCTGGGCAGAATCCACATTATAATAACCCTCGGACTTTGGCAGGTCAATGACATGCCCATTTGAGTAAGTGCCACCAGTTTCGTTGTTCAGGTTGCTCAAGCCATTACTGATGCTGCTGCTGTATACCCTGGCAAGGGCTTCTGCCTCACCACTCTGCTGCTGCCGTTGCTCCTGTAATCGCTGCTGGTGCTTCTGCACTTCAGCATACAGGCTGTCCCTCTGCTTTTTGGACATTCTTCCAAATTTCACAGCTGAAAAGCAAACCATAACAGAAACCATTGCTCTCTTTTCTTAAATTGTTTCCCTTTTAACATCACTTTTGCCCTGTCTTTCTGCTGGGGAAATCAGAGATGACACAAATCTGCAGACTACCCACGTATTATGAAAGCTGAAGCAGTATGCTCTTGGATTTGCAAGGTACCAACGCTGCTCCATTTTGACGGACAGGGACTCAGTCAAGCAACATATTCCTCCCTGCTGTGAATGTTAAAAAGACCTGGCATCTTTCTCTTCTCTCGCTGTGTTCACTTCACAACAACCCAGAGGTATATAAAACTTACAACCTTTAGATTTGTATCCCATGTGCTTTATCAAGTTGCTCCCAAACCTTTAAACTATGCACTAACTGATTAGTGCCTTCTGATGAAAGCAAATCCTAAAGGCCTGTTATTGAAACCTTTCAAGGGGCTATTATCTTCACACTCCTACTTTTTTTAAAACAACATTATAGGTTAGAGTCAGGACCTGCAGGGAAACAGCAGACTTGAAGGTAAGCAGCATAAATGAATGGCACATCTCATTTGGATTTGCACAATCATATTTTACCTAATCTCCATCGATAAAATTTGTACATTCTTCACTGTTAACAAATGAAGGAAATAGTGTTACTTTTAGAGTAAGTCAGCATCAGAGTACAAACTGGATTCTCTAGCGCTTGAAATCTTTAGAGACTCATGTCTTCCTAAAAGGTATGCTCTAATTCAAGCATGAGTTATTAGGCTTGATGCAAGAATTACTGGCTGAAATTCTATGGCCTATGTTATACAGGAGGTCAGTCTAGATGATATTAATGGTCCTTTCTGGCCTTAAAATCTATTAAATATTTTTGGGCAAATCTGGGAAACTTCAGCCCAAAGATGGTAAATAAGCTTTTAGAACAAATGAGGTCACTTAGTGGGCAGAAGATCTAGAGGGGGAAGAAGAGGGTATCAAGGATGGAGTCCTGAGGGATACCAATACAGAGCACAAGGGAGGGACACCAGGACATTCCTTTTTGGGAATGTAATTATAGAATGGTTATTAGCCAAGATGAGAGGGATGGTCTCCCTAGCCTCTGTTTGCCAGAAGCTGGGAATGGGTGACAGGGGACAGATCACTTAATTAACTGTTCTGTTCATTCCCTCTGAAGCACCTGGCATTAGCCACTGTCGGAGGACAGGATACCGGGCTAGATGGACCTTTGGTTTGACCCAGTATGGCCATTCTTAATGAAGCATCAAATACTCCTTTCATGTGGTATGAGGACAAGTGTTTTCCAAAGCCGCTGAATTACTTTAGATCCTTCTACTTATTGTGCTAAATTTAGAGACAACATAAGTGACTGCTGAAGATGGGCCTGATTCTCATTTACACTAGGGCCACTTTATACTTCTATTTATATCCTCTTTCAGACCCCCTTATGATAGTCAGATCCTATAAGTCTGTGCGAATGTGAGTGTAACTTGCAATCTGAGGGAGCTGAAAGATGTGCAAGAAGAGAAGAAAAGCACCAAAGAAAGCAGGGTGCAAGAAGGTATATCAGATAACAGCTCCATCAGTTTCTCACTCCCTTTTAGGGATTTGTTTCCCTGCTATGGCCCTGCCTTTCCATCCCCTGAGCATATAAATTATATCTCTTTACACCATCATTTGCATTACCTATGGATCCTGCCCATCATTCACTTCTCGCTCTTATTTTAACCTCAGCAGATGAGAGCAGGGAGGGCCAATCCACAACTACTTTATGTTGAAAAATGCAACTACATATTTTCTTTAATTTTAGGGCCTCAGTAATAGAAACAAACACCCACTGTTTATGCTCATTATATTTTCATTAATTGGGCTCTCCAGCTGCTGTCAATTAGCATCCTGCCTCTGTGTGATAGAAATTAGTCTGTTATTAGACTGAGAGTTAAAATTCACATATGATTTCTTTGTAACAATGAAAAAAAATCAATAAAGGCAAGACTATTTATATTACAGTGTTTATACTCGTAGAGGTTAGAGCAGGGAGTGGCAACCTCTGGCACACGGCCCATCAGGGAAATCCGCTGGCAGGCTGGGATGGTTGGTTTACCTGCAGCATCCACAGGTTCAGCCGATCGCAGCTTCCACTGGCCACGGTTCGCCATTCCAGGCCAACTGGGGCTGCAGGAAGCGGTAGCCAACACATCCCTTGGCCCACGCCACTTCCCGCAGCCCCCATTGGTCTGGAATGGCGAACTGTGGCCAGTGGGAGCTGCAATTGACCGAACCTCCAGATACTGCAAGTAAACAAACCATCCTGGCCTGCCAGCAGATTTTCCTGACAGGCCTCATGCCAAAGATGCCGATCCCTTGGTTAGAGGAAGGCAGCACTGGGAGATGAAACCTTCTATTCATCTACACTATAGAAGACTCAGGAGCACAGACTGAGAAACTCTGTTTTACAGGTGAGGGACAGAGCTCTAGCAGCCAAACACAAGTGTCCCTGTGATGCCTTAGATCCTTCTGCTACAGTCAGGAGACACCACTTTTATGAGGAGACTATATGCTGATTAACTGCTGAAAGAGCACAGCATTAATCTTCTTTGGGCAGAAAGGAGAGGCTAAGAACCCGGTCTGCTGCATGCTAGAGACCAAGCTGAATTCACTTAATGGTGAGACTGTGGTACCCTTACGCATGTTGGATAGAATTTTACATTGTGAACCGCCCCATTGTATCTATGGAGTAGAGTACTACTCAAAGTGCATATGAGTATTGCAATCTGACCTTAAACTAATTTAAAACCTCTGAACCATCAAATGACCATAATTTCTCTGGTGATCTACAAAGCTATAGGAAATTTAAAATAAATTCAAATGGCACATTTTTATAACTCTCCAAGACCATTTTTTTTGCCACTATATAGCTATAGATAAGCAAATTAAGGTAATATGCCTACAAAATAGGAGAAATTTTTGTTTTCTTTTTGATGATTTTAAAATTTCAGTATGGATTTGGGAAGAACCCAAATTAACAGTAGTAGCTAGGGCTGGAATAATGCCAACGGGCTTTGCTCAAGTTTCCTTGCACAGCTCTGCCATTGCACCTCAATGCTAACCTGCAACACAACTCTTATTCTAGTCCCAGGCAATTCTCAATTTGTCAATCATGCTGACTTGTGTGTCAGTTTGGGAAGTGGTTAAGAGGACTAATAACTCAGTAAGGACCAAGCGGAGACCACCAGCACCAAAATATATAGTTTGCTCTGTGCAGCCTCACCCTGAAGTTTCAACGGGATACACGAACCTTCTTCATTTTTTTGTTTTCAGCAGTTGTGTAGCTCTCTTGTTCACTGCTAAACAGCAGAAGGTTGCACCAAGTCATTCCTTTGTAATGTAATGCAATTTTTATTGAAGTGCTTTCAGATCCTTTAGCATAAAAATCGCTCTAAGCATGCATATTTCCTTTTTAACTGTACATTTTATTTATTATACTGTCTCAGGCCCTCAAACATTTTTAAGCAGGGGAGTTTTAATACATCAATATTTAATATTATTAATATAAAATGTTATCTGATCCAGCATGTGAAGCCATCTCTAAGAGAGGAGGACCTTTTTGCTTTTAACCAGAATGCCACATTTCTCTTTATAACATTTTGTTTTAATCTAATGTTGCTCTCTATTTGTTATTCTCCCACCCCCATGAAAAAATGCTCCTAAGTTTAAGGAATGGCAAAGATCTATGTTTTACTGTGAACATGTTAAGGAGCAGTTAGCTTTTCTTCTTTCTTTCCAGAAATCTGTCAGGGGTTTAAGTAGTCAGCAGCAATGAAGAACAGTTTCAAAGGGTTTATCTATGAAGCAGGAAGCTAACTCCTTACCGTCTCTAGACATTCCTAGGGCAAGACACTTCTGCAGTCGGCAGTGTTGGCAACGATTTCTGTTGGTTCTGTCAATTAAACAGTTTCTCTGCCTGGGGCAGGAGTAAGAGGCATTGTTCTGCTGACTCCTCCTAAAGAAACCCTAGAGAGACAGAGTGAAAAAGAGAGGGAGAGAGAGAGAGAATTACCATATATATAGATATATATATATAGTGGCATGCCACTGCAATAAACTCTAATTCAGTGACATTTTGTTTATGATACAACTTTGTAGATGCTTTAACCATAAATAGTGAAATAAACTCATGTTCTCTCCTGATATGAAAAACCTGTGCATTACTCCGTAAAACATAATATGCGGGTATGAGGGTAACAAACAGGATAGAGTGATAAAATATAGTACATCCTCAATAATACAATAAACACTGAACTTCATCAAATGCTCAGGGAGACTCTCACCAATATTTATAACAAGGCGACTTAGTGCCATTTGCTCCGAATACTTTTTTTGTTGAAGAAAATGTACTGGTAACTTCTAACACGGACAATTTGTTTATTCACTGGCTACATGTGGTATCAGAAGCTGTAATGTACTGTAAAAGCGGCAAAGAGTCCTGTGGCACCTTATAGACTAACAGACATATTGGAGCATAAGCTTTCGTGGGTGAATACCCACTTCGTCGGATGCATGTAGTGGAAATTTCCAGAGGCAGGTATAAAGATGCAAGCAAGAATCAGGCTAGGGATAACGAGGTTAGTTCAATCAGGGAGGATGAGGCCCTCTTCTAGCAGTTGAGGTGTGAACAGCAAGGGAGGAGAAACTGCTTTTGTAGTTGGCGAGTCATTCACAGTCTTTGTTTAATCCTGAGCTGATGGTGTCAAATTTGCAAATGAACTGAAGCTCAGCAGTTTCCCTTTGAAGTCTGGTCCTGAAGTTTTTTGGCTGCAGGATGGCTACCTTTAAATCTGCTATTCTGTGTCCAGGGAGGTTGAAGTGTTCTCCTAGAGGTTTTTTGTATATTGCCATTCCTAATATCTGATTTGTGTCCATTTATCCTTTTACGTAGGGACTGTCCAGTTTGGCCCATGTACATAGCAGTGGGGGCATTGCTGGTACATGATGGCGTATATTACACTGGTGGACATGCAGGTGAATGAACCTGTGATGGTGTGGCTGATCTGGTTAGGTCCTGTGATGGTGTCGCTGGTGGAGATATGTGGGCAGAGTTGGCATCGAGGTTTGTTGCATGGATTGATTCCTGAGTTAGAGGTTATGGTGTGGTGTGTAGGTGCTGGTGAGAATATGCTTCAGGTTGGTGTTGGATCATATTAAAGAAGTTCTGTATTAAAATCACAAATGAGTTTGATTCCCCAGAGTTTAAATTCCAGGGTATTACTAATTAAGAGGTCTCTTGGTTTTTGGTACTGTTTCTCTCCCTCTATGTGTGAAACTTGCAAGCTGCTAATTGTGTTAGTACATTCTAAGACAGAGCCTGTTCTCAAAGCAATTCACAGAGAGAGAGACTCAAAGCAATACTCTAACAACAGAAACAACACCCAGAGACTCCCCACCCTTTTGTTGTATTAACAATTGTGATTAAAATAGAGATAGAGGATGTATGTGGATGGATGCTTGGTGTGGATAATAACTGAATGATCAGGGAGGTGCCAGCCTAAGAATCCAGTGTCCATCGGCTGAAGAAGGCGTCAAGTGGAAATAACCAGAGGACCCCCCGGAGGGCAGACTGGAATCCACCCAACAGCCTCAAGGATGGGAGAACCAAAGAACAAGATAACATCTTGGAGCCGTCAGGAATGTGCTATCTGCTGATTGATTCAGCAACAGCATGATGAAGCAATTCCCATAGACTGGCATAGGAAGAAATTCCTATAAAAATAGACTCTAAAAAGTGAGAACTTTGGGGGTCTGATTCTGCAAACCAACTTCCAGGAGCATCAGATGAGCATCTGACAAGGCCCTGCTCCCTCCTCATGTCCAGGCCACCTGGCCAGTGGCTTGGCATGAGCAACTATTAGGCTGGTAACTATGATAACAACCTTGCAGAACCTGTGTGTGTGTGTGTGTGTGTGTATGTTTGTATGAATGAATGTGAGAATAAATTTGAGATTGAATGGAATGTTATAACTATAACTAACTGCTTACTATGATTCTTTCTGTATTCACAGTAAATGTGGTATTTTGCCTTTTTCCCTTTAATAAGATCCTGCTGGTTTTTATTTTATTGGTACAACATTGGCGGGTTGTCTGTGGGCAAGGACTGGCCTGCCTCCCAAGGCCTGTGAAAGTGAGGGATTGTTGTAGATCACTGATGATGATTTGGAGAGGTTTTAGCTGAGGACTGTATGTGATGGCCAGTGGAGTTCTGTTGGTTTCTTTCTTGGGCTTGTTTTGCAGCCGGAGGCTTCTGGGTACACATCTGGCTCTGTTGATCTGTTTCCTTATTTCCTCGTGTGGGTATCGTAGTTTTGAGAATGTTGGTGAAGATCTTGTGGGTGTTGGTCTCTGTCTGAGGGGTTGGAACAAATGCGGTTGTACGTCAGCGCTTGGCTGTAGACAGTGGATCATGCAGTGTGTCCGGGATGGAAGCTGGAGGCATTAAGCTAGGCATAGCAGTGGGTGGGTTTTCAGTATAGGGTGGTGTTAACGTGACCATCACTTATTTGCACTGTGGTGTCTAGGAAGTGAACCTCCTGTGTAGATTGGTCCAGGCTGAGGATGATGATGGGATGGAAGCTATTGAAATCATGGTGGAATTCTTCCAGTGTTTCCTTCCCATGGGTCCAGATGATGAAGATGTCATCAACGTAGCACAGGTAGGGAAGGGATGTGAGTGGACGAGAGCTGAGGAAGTGATGAACCAGGTCAGCCATAAAAATGTTGGCATATTGTGGGGCCAAGTGGGTGCTCATAGCGGTATCACTGGTCTGGAAGTATATATTGCCACCAAATTTGAAATAACTGTATGTGAGGATAAAGTTCCAGAGCTCAGCAATCAGTTGTGCTGTGACATCATCAGGGATACTGTTCCTGACAGTTTGTATTCCATGAGTGTGTGGGATGTTTGTGTAGAGACCCTCTACATCCATGGTGGCTAGGATGGTGTTTTCTGGAAGATCACCAGTGCATTGTAGTTTTCTCAGGAAATCAGTGGTGTCATGGTGATAGCTGTGCTCGCTAGTGGCATAGGGTCTGAGTAGAGAGTCCACATATCCGGACAGTCCTTCAGTGAGAGTGCCAATGCCTGAGATGATGGACATATACATAGGATGCTTCCACCGACGTGCACAGGCAGAAAGTGTGGAAAAACAACGTCACTTGCCTCATAACCTAAGTCGTGCAGAACGTAATGCCATCCACAGCCTCAGAAACAACCCTGACACTATAATCAAAGAGGCTGATAAAGGAGGTGCTGTTGTCATCAGGAACAGGTCTGACTACCAAAAGGAGGCTGCCAGACAACTCACCAATACCAAATTCTACAGGCCACTTTCCTCAGATCCCACTGAGGAATACACTAAGAAACTGCACCATCTACTCAGAACACTCCCTACACAAATACAGGAACAAATCAACATACCCTTAGAGCCCCGACTGGGGTTATTCTATCTATTAGCCAAGATCCACAATCCCGGAAATCCTGGATGCCCCATCATCTTGGGCATTGGCACTCTCACTGAAGGACTGTCCAGATATGTGGACTTTCTACTCAGACCCTACACCATCACAGGACCAAACCAGATCAGCCATACCAGTTCATTCACCTGTACATCCACCAATGTAATATACACCATCATGTGCCAGCAATGCCCCCACTGCTATGTACATGGGCCAAACTGGACAGTCCCTACGTAAAAGGATAAATGGACACAAATCAGATATTAGGAATGGCAATATACAAAAAACCTCTAGGAGAACACTTCAACCTCCCTGGACACAGAATAGCAGATTTAAAGGTAGCCATCCTGCAGCCAAAAAACTTCAGGACCAGACTTCAAAGGGAAACTGCTGAGCTTCAGTTCATTTGCAAATTTGACACCATCAGCTCAGGATTAAACAAAGACTGTGAATGGCTCGCCAACTACAAAAGCAGTTTCTCCTCCCTTGCTGTTCACACCTCAACTGCTAGAAGAGGGCCTCATCCTCCCTGATTGAACTAACCTCGTTATCCCTAGCCTGATTCTTGCTTGCATCTTTATACCTGCCTCTGGAAATTTCCACTACATGCATCCGACGAAGTGGGTATTCACCCACGAAAGCTTATGCTCCAATATGTCTGTTAGTCTATAAGGTGCCACAGGACTCTTTGTCGCTTTTACAGATCCAGACTAACATGGCTACCCCTCTGATGTAATGTACTGTGTGATTCCCTAGGTTAACCTGGAGAAGCATAAACTGATTTGGAGGGAGCAGATACTCCACAAGTGACAGGTAATTCAAATTGAGGCATCTACAAGAGCCCTAGGATTTAATGACCTTATTAGCTAAAGTGCAATGGAAAAAGCAACACTTTTAAACAATACCATCCTCCTCCATGAAAAAAATCATGACATTTCATATGTAAAAGAAATATATTATTATCAGGTAAATACAGAAAATTAAAAAGCCCAGTTTAGCTAGGGAATGGGCTAAAAAACCTTAAAACTTTTAGTTATCCAGTCTCAGTAGGGTTTTTTTGAGTGTTATTCTGGCCAGTTGTTTGGGTTTGTGACTGGGGACAAGAGTATTAGAACTGGAGAGCATGTCCTTACTTAGTCATAGCCATTGAGAATGGCACCATCAGGCAATATTAGGGCAGAAGTGACAAGAAATTCCAGAGATGTCAAGAGGAATGGAGCCAGGAAGGGGAGATGAGAGACGTAAAGCGACACGTGATGTTCTTCTCTCTTCTACAGAACAACGAAAGATAAAGAGCACAGGAGGAGCAGGGAGCCCAGAGAGGGGGAGAGAAATTCATTGGAGAACCTAGCAGCTTTAGAAACAGGCAACTGCACACTTACAAAGTGAGAAAGAGATGGAGGGGGAGTCTAGCAACCGCAGGAAGCCATGAAGGCAGATAGAAGGCAAAAAGTGCAGTTAGCATCTGTAGGAGGAAGACAGAGTAAGGTTAGACACTGGTAGCAGTGGCAGTGAGGTGGCTGAGTGTTGCTAGGATGGTTTGTAGACTAAACCCGAACTGATTCAGAAAGCTAGGGCTGGCTTCATTCAACAGCTAGTCCAGTATTGTTTCAGTACAGGACTATGGATGACAGCAGCAAATCATGGCAATAATAATAGCTGTGGAGTCTGGAGAAACAATGGTGAAGAAACAATGTAATTGGATTGTACATGACTGGATTCACTCAGTAAAGACAGTATTTGACGCTTCACTCAAGTCCTAGTGCATTGAATGATGGCCAGAGGTGTCACTAGCACTGGACAACAGGTATTGGGTTTGAGTAAAGATACCGACATTCCCAGTCCATGAAGTGAAGTTTAAAGTCCCATTTCATCTACCCTGCATAGGTTATAACCACTAACACAACCAATTTAAAATTTAATTTAATATGTGAGTTTTTTATCTTTGGGAATGCAGTTGTCCTTTAGGGAAAGTGCCAATGAAAAATTGTAAAGCACTTATCTGATCCTGACTGTCAAAGAATTTACTGAACCAATGGCTGTGGGATTAATTTAAGGCTAATTTAGCGCTAATTATGAGACATTTCTTATGTATTTGCCGTACTTCATTACAAATTTCCTTTTTGGCATAAAAAGGGTTTTCTGTTTTAAATTTAAGCAATTCAGTGTGAATAGGGAACTGAAAGACTGGATTAATCAGATCAGGTCAATCTTATTTTTAAATGTAACAGTTATAAAAATTACGTTTTTTAAAATTGTAACTATTACATAGTGTAGAGTATCATATTTTAGTGCTACAAAGCTTTTGATAGTGAAGACTGAGTGGCTTATTTTCTATCATACAGGAATTTACACTATCATTCTTTGTTCTTATTAGAATATCATGGGACATATTCAAATTTTGACTTGGTATAATTTATTTTTTCCCTTCCCTCATCAGAGCTAAATGTTTTCTTAGAATATATAATATTTTATATCCTTTTTTTGAATGGCTACATTTATTGGGGAGAACAATTGCTCTTTTGGGTAGAAGAATTGCACTGACCTAATGGGTAGAGTAGAAGAGCTAAAAACAAAGTTTCTTGGTTCTTTTCCTAACTCTGACATTAAATCACTTTGTGATGTTGGGCAAGTCACTTAACCTTTCTCTAGCTCAGTTTCCCAGTCTGTAAAACAGGGATAGTAATATGTCCCATACCTCAAAGAACTAGGCTGCAGTTTTAACCACTTCCCACAATGGTGGAGAGACAGGTGGAATGAGACACTTTTGAGAGCCCCAGAGACATTGAGGTAGGAACAAGGGGTGAAATCCAGGTCCAAATGAAGCTGGTGGGGAAATTCCCATTGGCTTCAATGGGGCAAAGATTGCACTGAAGGTGCCCAGGCATGCTGCAGGATACAATAGTGCTATTTGCTACACCCTTTAATAAGGTGCAATGAGGACAGATAGATCAGATATAGAGTGATACAGAAAAGTGTTCACCCACAGGTGACAGGGTGTTTTTGTCTTTTATCATTTTCCTGTGTGAGTTCATCTGAGAGAGCAGTGACTATCTGGTTTCACCCAGATAGTTTTTATTGGGGCATTTAGTGCACTCGAAGAGTAAAGATGTGTTGTGGTGGGTGTTGATCATTGTAGCAGTGGAGATATGGCTGCAGGTTTTGCATCCGTTGTTCTGTCTGGTTCTGGTGCCGTTTTGAGTCTCTGTGTCCTGGTCTGTGGGGAGCTTTCTTCTGATGATGAGCTTGGAAAGGCTGAGGGGTTGTTTAAACGCCAGCAGTGGGTGTTTACAAAACAATCACTCTATGGGCTTGTCTTCGTGTACAGCACTGCAGCTGCACCAATGTAGCGCTTAAGGGGATGTCTTCACTACCAACGTGGCTGTGTGAGCTCTCCCAGTGCTGTAAAAAAACCACTCCCACGAGGGGAGAAGCTCCCAGTGCTGGTGCACTGTCTACACGGCCACTTTACAGAACTGAAACTTGCATTGCTTGGGCGGGGTGGTGTTTTTTCACACCCCTGAGCAAGAGAGTTTCAGTGCTGTAAAGTGGCAGTGTTGACAAGGCCTTAGTGAAGACGCTACTATGCCGCTGGGAGAGCCTCTCCCATCAGTGTAGTTAATCCACCTTCCCAAGAGGCGGTAGCTCTCCCATTAACATAGCACTGTCTAGAGGTGGGCGCAGGAGGTAGGATTTTGCACACCCCTCAGCGATGTAGTTATATTGGTTATACTATACTATATACTATACTGATAAAGGTCTGTAGTGGAGATATGGCCTATATCTGACCTCTTAGTCCTCATCCTCAAAGGAAACCTGCACAACACTTTCAAAAGATGAGCCCAGGTGCTTAAATTCATCTTTCCGCTAGACACTAAAAATCATGGATTGAACAGATTTCCTGGATTTATGGCTTATTACAACAACCTGTTACTCTTTACCCCTCTGTTTTTGTCCTATGACTACAGAGGTGTTAACGGGACACTCTACCTTGAATGGTCCCTTAGAATATGTGCTAACTACTTATGTTAAACAATCTGTTCCATCTTGCATTTTGCTGTGATGCTGGGAGTACCTTTCGCAGACCTGCAGAAGAGCTCTGTGTGGCTCAAAAGTTTGTCTCTCTCACCAACAGAAGTTGGTCCAGTAAAAGATATTACCTCGCCCACCTTGTCTCTCTAATCTCCTGGGACCAGCACAGCTACAACTAGACTGCATACATCTTTCTTCATGACAGTCTCATGAAACAGGATTAGACTAATTGATCTGCTACTTTGAAACTGGCACAAAAACAATAGGGTTATAACTGTGTTAAGTGGTAGAGGAGCTTCTTATCTCAATATGCACATAGAGCTAAGAGGTATTGTCTCCTCTTGAGGCACACACAAGGGCTACCATTAACACTAATCACATCCAGAGGAGACTCTATTCCTTACTGCTTTGTGTAGACTGGTTACAGAGACAAGAAGCTCTTTTTCTGCTTAAAAGCATTTTTCTTTATTATTATTTTTGTAACAATTTTAAAGTATCAGATCGATTAGATTAATCCTGTTTTGTGCCTATTTCCAGTCCAGTATCACAATAAAACCGTGTCACAGGGGGGATGGCTCATTTACAATTATTAAAGTTTCTAAAAGGCAAGGTCTGATTTTTGACAATATGTCACTTCTCAATTTACTGGCATTAAATCAAACTCTTTATTTTTGGGATGTAGTAAATCCAATGTTTTGGATTTTTCAGATGCCTTCAATGTTATAAAATGCTGAATACAAACCTGGGGAGCGAGATATTTCACACTACACACGTGTAGATAGATGTGTATGTGCGCCCACAAAATGTACAAGTGCACGTTTCCATCTACAAAATGACCTGCAGGTGCTAATCAGAGCCTTTGCATCTTTGCACCTTCAAGCAGGTAGTCAGAACTGCAAACACCAAGATTTGCCTTTGCAAAATTCTTGGCTGCTGTGAGAGCCAAAATAGCCACAGGGACTGCTTTAACATATGGCAGCCTTCCCACAGGTGCCAATGGCTGGTGCTGCAGCCTCAAATCACTGGAGCAGGGTGACAGGTTTCAGAGTAACAGCCGCATTAGTCTGTATTGGCAAAAAGAAAAGGAGTACTTGTGGCACCTTAGAGACTAACCGATTTATTTGAGCATAAGCTTTCGTGAGCTACAGCTCACTTCATCGGATGTGGGCATTCTCCCTTGTACCCCAGCCTGCTCCCTTCCATCACTGGCATATGCCAGGCCTACAAGGAGGGACAATGCCATGCCAGTTACACTCTTCCTGAGCTGGGGGAATTTCTCTCTGGGCAATTGCAACTTATTTATGTCCCCTTGAGAGCACAGAGGCACCAGAGTGGGGGCCAAAATCAGCACCATATCTCTTTAAACTGTGCATTATGACACTTAAATTAACTTTGACATTTCACACATACCGTAAATGAAAAAAGAGCACAAAACTAGTCCCCAGGTTCATTCGGGGTGGAGCAGTTCTAACATACTGTAACCAGCATCTGTTTCACCATTTATGCTGCATCACATATTAATAATTCAAAGCCTCAAACCAGGAGCTATTTCTAAATATCATCTGACTGCTGAATAAGGAAGACAACTAGTAAAATTAGACACGGAACACCTGTGTATCAGCAGCAGGCATTACAGCCTTTGACACGCCTTGTTTGAAAGGGTGTCAGAGTGTGTTGTTAAGTACACAGATGCCTGAGGCTAATGCAGATGCCAATGACAGTGCTGTATAAAGTCTCATACCTTGCAGCCTTCACATGTGATGACTCCATAGTGTATTCCAGAGGACTTATCTCCACAAATTTTGCATGGTATCACTTCAATTTGTGCTGAAAAAGAGAAAAGGGTTATTTTTGATTTATAATACTGTTCCTTTCTTTTCTGCCCTAACTACTGATCATAGATGTTAGAGCTGGTCAGACATCTAACTTCCTGCAAATGTAAAATTGTTCTTTATGATATTTTTTGTTTTTTAGTGCTCTGTTCAGTCCAGTTCTAATTGATTCACATGATGGGGCTTCCACCATTTCCCCGAAGGGACTGTTTCACAATCTAATAGATCTCATGATAAGAAAACTTTCCCTAACATTCGCCGTAAGTTTTCTTTTTTTTTTAAATTTCATCCCCTAGCTATACCTATTGGATCACTCTAAACAATTAATCTCCTTTTTTTGGTGTTTTTAGCCTTCAAATACTGCTTGCCAGTACTCTTATCCTCCATTATATCCTCACTCTTCATTTTGCTGAGGCAGAATGGCCATATATGATTTGATGCTCTTTCTATTAAGCTCCCCTGGGCTCTTCCCTCTCACCCCCATCATGGCTCATTGTACTTTGTACATTTGATATGATGCAATTCATGTGATATTCTTTCATGTCCTCTGATTTGTGATTTACTGACATACATCAAAGATACTAGCAACATCTGTATATATCTGCAAAGTTCTGCCTCCAAGGAATTGCTTAAACCAGTGATTTATTTGCAGACATACCTCACCTACTCCAGTCAAAGCCATTTATTTACTGGCTCTAAATTAGAGATGAGCAGGAGCTATAGATCCAGATCCTAACATCTCCAGTATCCGTTCTTTGCTTTGGCTAACTATAGAATTAGCGGCTAACTGCAAGATTCAGAACTGCATGTAGATTCAGATATACTCAGAATTGGAAGGTGTTTACTTTTGGTTCAGGCCCTTCTACAACCTAAATATTCAATCACTTCTTAATCTGAAAATATATTTTCCTCTCTCTACATATAATTTTCTTTTTTCCTTCCTATATGTGAGACAGAATATTTGCCTCATTCTCCAACTTTGAATCCTTTGCATGACTTCTCCTGTCTATACTGCATTGTCACATCTGCTTACTAGTACAGTATGTAGGGACAGACTGTGCTTGGCTCTGGGCAGGTGCACTTGGGAGAGGGAGCAGGAAGCCTTCCTTCCCATGCAAGAGCCAGGCATAATTGTAGCCCTTGCACGTTGTGGGCCAGATCCTCAGCTGGTACAAATTGGTATAGCTCTAATGAAGTCAGTGGAGCTGTGGGTGTGACCTCCTGAGCAAAATACTGCTTCCTTCTGACTCCCTGGTGAGGCAAATGCCACCCCAAAGTGAGTGGGGAAGGCACATGCCCGCCTCCCACCACAAAAATGCATCTGCCAGTCCTGCCACTGAAGCCTGGCTGGGATGGATGCAGAGGGGGAGCATGCTGTCTCCTAAGAGAGTAATGCAGTAAGCACTCCCCAGAGCTCTGGGACAGATTGTGGGTCAGTGCCTTCAAGGCACAATCTGGTTTTTAGTAAGTAACAAGTGTGCACATACAGTGAGCCATGATGGGAGTGAGGGGGAAACGGAACAGCCCAGAGGGAACCTAAGATGCATTCCCTTAAAAACCATGCTTTCACTTGGAGGTACCACAAATGCTAGAGCGCACACTTAGCTGAAGAGAATGAAAAAATCATTTTCAAACTACTGCGCACACACATGCATTCAGGTGTTCATACTATGGATGCTGTTGGAAAAGCAGTAAAGTGCTCTGGCTTCATAATCTAGTACCAAACTGTACCTGTCATCATTGTTCCCAGGTGAGAGAACAGAGACTCATTACAATTATCTTTATAGTTCCCTTTATAGCTTGACTAAAATCAGATGAGTACCTGTAAGGGGTTGTCCCTACAACCTCTTGAAATGTGCTGTGTGTCTCTCACCACTAAATGATTGTTTATGGTGGTTAAGAATTCATTTTTTAAATAACTCAGTTTAATTACCAGATACAGTGGCGTGCACAATTGCCTCCCACCCTCAAGCAGCCTGGAAAGCAAGCCAGTCATAATTGAGGCCCCTTCTTTCAGGGAGGTGAATATTCCTTGGGTGCATTCCCAGAGGTGAACAGTGTCCCACAGAGGGAAGGAAGGAGATAGGAAGGAACATACATGGATGGTGAAACTTCCACACCCACTGTGAACTCTAAGGCATTTGGGGAAGGACTGTGCTTCCCTGAGGCACAATGTCTCCTTGAGCACCTCTTGGGGCACAGTAGCTCAGCTGTCTGTCTTCCCCAGTGCAAGACTGGGTGATAAAAGCATGATCTAGACATACACAGTTGCATGTACTTGTGAACTCCAGTTCACTAAAGACAAATTTTCAAATGGGTTTTTAAACTGAGTCTCTAAATTACACTCACACAAATCTCATATATTTCGGTGCAATTGCTCATCTAACAACCTAGTACACAAGACAGCTTCTGCACATGTAAAGTGAGGGAGCAAGAAGAAATAATACCCCCCGCCCCAAACTTAACAATAAAGTAAAGTAATTCTGCTATGCTATTTCATTATTGTATTGTTTCAAAAATGTGGCTGATTTATGGTTAACCTATCACATATTTTACTTATTAGCTTGAGTTGAATATAATTTTTTGTTCATATATTTTAGGTAGAGATGGGCTAGAACCAAATCCCTTAATGCAAGTGCCTATGAACTCTGGGAAAGTTCAGATATACTGTAGAAGTAAATTTTGTTCCTCAGGCCACCCTTGACTCTAGCTTCACCTTAGGTTATGCCTTCACTGCATAAAAGATGGTAGTGGGGTTTTACAGCAGGGTAATTAATAGGCATTAACTACTATGCTGTAAAATCCTTGTGGAGACAAAGCAATGCAGTTTTAGTGTGAGATAGCTAGGTGAGGTCTACAGTATACCCTCACCCATGGCTGACCTTGCCCAGTTCATCTCACAGTAAAACTGCAGTTCTTTACTTCCACAAGGACTATGCACTGGGACAGCTAAGACACCCTAATTATTCCATGGTAAAAACACACCCTTTTTGGCAGCAAAGACAAAGCCTGAGCATGATTCCTAGGTGCTGCTGCCAGTTGAGAGACTGGGTTTCAAGTAATTGTAGATCCCTAGGGTGAGAACCATGCAGAGGGAGAAAGTTTAGTCTTTGGAAGGATGGACTGTTTTGGGTTGCCAGACTCAAAGGGAGATGTAGATCTCAGGCAGAAGCTAAAGTCTGGAATATGGGGAAATCCTCAAAACTTAGTAAGTCAAGATGTGTGAGGCAACAAGTGAAAATAGAGGAATAATAAAATAAAATAATAATAATAATAATGAAATTAGATTTTAAAAAATAGTTTAAACATATTTACTACTTATTAATTTATTCCTGTGATAGGAACAAGGGCATAAGGCTTAATTCTTCAAACACTTGCTGCACTGAACTTCATACTTGTTACTGTGAAGAGTCAATAATACTACACACAGTAAGGGACTACTCATAAGTACTGTGCTCAGTTATAAGTGTTTGTGAATTGGGTCCCTAAATGCTAAAGCTATTGATTTCAATTATTATGAAACAAATACACTACGCTGAGACCTCATCCGCAAATCAGAATCAAACTAATCATTTTATAAGTTAGTAGTAATAAATATTAGAGAGACAAGGTGGGTGAGGTAATAACTTTTATTGGACCAACTTCTGTTGGTGAAAGAGACAAGCTTTCAAGATTACTAAGGGCTTGTCTACACTACCAAGTTTTGTTGACAAAACTTATGTCGACACCCAAAAGTCAACAAAACAAAAATCACCAAAGGGTGTTCACACTTGCTCCCTCTGTCGACAGCTCATGTCCACATTGGGGACACCATCATCGACAGGGTGAGCAATGCACCGGGGGTATGTATCCCACAGTGCAGTGTTGTGGGAGGGAAGAGCTGATCGCTGCGCATCTTGGAATTCTCTCCGAGTTCTCCCAGAGCCCCTTCAGCTGCAGAGAGCAGCATCATGAGTAGCTCTGTGAGCTCTCGGTGCTGAGAAAGGGCAAAGCAGCATGGCAGTCTGTCCCCCTCCCCTGCAGCAGTAGTCTGCCTGCTGCTGCATTCCTAGTGCAGGGCAGAACAGGAGCATTCCAATGATTTGCTCTTTGTTTGTTCCCCAAAGGGAGCAGCACACAGATACTTCCCCCAGCTTTGAAAGGGGAGGGGCACATGCCTACAGGGCAGCAGAGATCAAAACACTGAGCAGAGCAATCAGGGCAGGCAATGTGGGATACTGGCGGAAGCCAATTCTGTCGACAAAACAATCAGCAGTGTCTACACTGGCTCTTTGTCCACAATAAAGGGAGGGGAAAAGACAAAAGTTTCTGGTAAGGGTGGAAGTTTTTTGTCAAACTGGGCATTTTTTACAACAAAAGTCCCATTGTAGTGTGTAGGCTCATGCTGTTTTGTCGCCAAAAGGCAGTTTTTGGCGACAAAACTTGCCAGTGTAGACAAGCCCACAAAGTTCTTCTTTAGATCTGGGAAAGGTTCTCAAGTGTCACAGCTAAATGTAAGGTGGAAGAAATTGTTTAGCATAAGTAGTTAACACATATTTCAAGAGCCCATTCAAGGTGAAGTAGCCTGTTAACATCTCTCCAGTCATGGGGTTTTGGGGGGAAGGGAACTGGAGGGCTTAGTGTATTATAGTAATAGTGAAAACAGTCTCCAGCAGATTGGTGTTGCTGCTTCTAAGGCCTTGTCTACACTGGCAAGTTTCTGCGCAGTAAAGCAGCTTTCTGCGCTGTAACTCCTGAGGGGTACATGCTGCCAAGCCACTTAGTGCGCAGAAACTGTGCAGTTCAGCGCTGTAAAAAACCCACCCCGACGAGAGGCGTTCTACAGCGCTGCGATGTCAGTGTAGACACCCTGGTCGATTACAGCGCTGCGATTGGCCTCCGGGAGGTGTCCCACAATGCCTGCTCTCGCCTCTCTGGTCATTGGGTTGAACTCTACTGCCCTGCCCACAGCTTACCAACCGTCATCTCCACCCCATAAATTCCTTTGGAATTTTG